AAAAACCAAAAAAAAAAAAAAAAAAAAAAAAAATAAAGTATATGGGGGGATGTACATAGGTTACACATGCATAGGTTGTAAGCAAATGCTATGCCATGTTATATAAAGGACTTCAGTGTCTACAGACTTTAGTATCTGCCGAGTGGCAGGGTGGGGGCATTTATCTTGGAACCAATCCCCAGGGATACTAAGGAACTTTTTTTTTTTTTAAATAGGTACCGCAGCACAGCCACGTAGTTCTAGAGTTACAGTTTTAGTTTCCCTAATGTCTCCTTTGCATCACTGCGTTTGACTTTGGGGCCATTATTAAATAAGAGTTACAAGTGCTGTGGTACAGGAGAGAGAACCTAGATTGCTACTGAGTGACTTAACAGGTGGGTAGTATATATAATGTGGATACACTGCACAAAGAAATAATGGTCTTGTGTAGTACCAAATGAGATGGCACAAGATTTCAGAATGTGCTTAGAACTGTGCTCAATTTAAAACTTACAAATTATTTACTTCTGGAATTTTCCTCTTAATATTTCTGGGCCATGTGTTAGCTTTCCGTCACCTGGACAAAATACTTGAATAGATAAACTTATAAGGAGGGAATGTTTGGTTTGGCTCGTGGTTTCTGAGCCCTCAATTCATGGCTGCTTGGTCCTGTTTCTTTGGGGCTGGGGTGAGACAACATCATGGTAGGGGGCCCATGGAGGAGCACACCTGCTCACCATGGCAGCCAGAAAGCCAAAACGAGGGGAAGTGGCCAGGGTTGCAGTACCTTTAAAGGGCCCACTCAGTGACCTTTCTTCTAACTCCTGTTCCCCCACCTCCCTACGGAATACCACAGGCTGGAGAGCAACCCATCAACATGGCTTTGGAGGGCACTTGAGATCCATTCTGTAACAGACCAGAACACAGTTAGTGGCACCTGAACCACCAGCTAAACTGGCTGTGTGTGGTGTGTGTGTGTGTGTGTGTCTGTAGCATGTTCTAGCATGTTCAATAATATTTAAGGAAGTAGCTTGTGAAGTTTTTATTTGTGTTTTCTTTTATAAAATATGTGTATTGCGTATATCTTACGAATACAGAAGAAATGAGGTAGTTATTGCTCATGAGTCTGCTTCCAGTTGTGTAGACCATGAACCAGCATCCTTCTCCTTCTCTGGCAAATAACCAGATTTGAATTCTGGACAGGCCATGGTATACACTAATCTCTGTGTAGTAGTGGGTTCTGATATAACTTACGTCCTGTAGCAGTACTGTTCAAATGCTATAGTCATCAGCTGTATGTGGCAGTTGAAATTTTTTCTTATTGTGGTTAAATATACATGACAAAATCTCCCATCTTCCCATTCGGTGTATTAAATACATTCCTGCTGTTGTGAAACTGTCACCAGTGTCCATCTCCATAACTCTTTTCATCTTAAAACACAAATTCTGCATCCATTAAACAGAAACTCCTCATTCCCTCACAGCTCCTGGCAGCTGCCATGTTTTCTGCCTCTCGTTTTCACAACTTCATATAGGTGGAAACATACAGTATTTGTGTTTTTGTGTTTTATTTCTACTCAGTATGTCCTCAGAAGCCATCCGTATTGTAGGGTGTCGCACAGTTTCTTTCATGTTCAAGGCTGAATAATGTCCTTTTGTTTTTTTTTTGGTTTTTTTTTTTTTTTTTTTTTTTTTGGTTTTTCTCCGGTACCAGGAACTGAACTCACGACCTTGCGCTTGCCAGGCAGGCGCTTTGCCGCTGAGCTAAATCCCCAGCCCCAATAATGTCCTTTTGTATGTATATATTTTGTGATCCATTCATCTGTCAGTGGACATAGGTTGCTTCCGTGGTTTGGCCATGCCACGGTGTGGCTAATGTCACTATGAGGAAGTATAGACAAATGTCTCTTTGAGCTGTGGTAGTCCAAAAAAAAAAAAAAAAATTTGAACTTAATAAAGTTTTAAAAATTTTGTACCTCAAAGTCATTATCAACAGAGTAAAAAGGCAAGCCTTAACATGGGAGGACATATTTGAAAATCATACCCAGTAAGGAATCAGTATCTAGACTATACAGAGGAGAAATAAAACGTAACAAAAAAGCTGATACAGAAATAAGCAAAGAACTTCAATAAGTACTTCTCTAGAGAAGATATGCAGATGGCCAATAAGTACATGAAAAGATGCTCATGATTACTAGTTATTAGAGAAACGCACATTAAAACTATAAGCTGTTACTTACCATTCTTTAGGTTGACTGCTACTTAAAAAATGTGGATGGAAATATGGAAAAATTGGAAGGTAGCCTTTGCCAAGTTATGTTTCCTCATTGGTGAGCATGTAGGACGTTAAGATCACTGTGGAAGAGAGTCTGGTCATTCTGCAAATTAAAAATAGAACTAGAATCTAACGCAATTCCACGTAAAAGAACTTAATTAAAATTAAGTAAAACAAAGTGATGCATCTTACTGTTGCTTTAGCATTTCCTCCAAGTCAGATACTGGTCTCGTGGTCTTGCCAGGCTAATGAGATTGGGCCGAGATGTATTGAGACTCAGTGGGCAGCATGTGTGACAGTGACGAAATTCTCAAGTTCTTGCTGAGGTGAAGCAAGGCAAGCGTGTCAGAAGAGATGTTGGTGGCTTTGACGAGGCGTAGCTTACAGAGGTGAGGCCTGGCACACAACAGGACAACTGTGGAGTGCTTCAAAAGAAATAGGTGTAAAAGTGGAACATTTTTAAAAATGAAAAATGTAAAGACTTTTAAAAGAAAAGTGACTGTGAAGACAGGTGATGTCAACATAAGACCAAGGTGAGCAAAAGAAATTAAAAATGCTTAAGTATATTTTCCTGAAATTAAAAAGTTATGTATGGACAGATAATTAATCCTGAATTAAAACAGCCAACAGTGGGACGCCAGGTAGAATTACTTGGTTGTCAAAAATAGAAGCATATTTTTTAGCTATTTGGAAAGGGTACTTGATCTGTAAGGGAATGTGTTATCAGTAGATTTTTCAGCAGGAGCATTTTTTTATATCAGGTAAAAATGGAGCAAGATAGTTAAGATTCTCAAGCCAAAGATACTCTATCCACAGAACCAAATTTTAAGCATAAAGGGCACAAGTTAATGTGTAAGAAGAATGCTCTCACGAGTCCCTCGAGACTGTGGCAGAGGGAGCACCACCAGCTGCGGAGACGCCAGCGTGAGACGCACACTCAGTGCATTAGCTTTATGTTGCCGTTCCGGCCTCCTGTTTTTAGGCCTCAGGTAAGACAGCACACAACAGTGGGAGCACATTGCAGAGTAAGTCACTCACATCTCAAGTTAGGAGGCAGCGGGGCTAAGGGGTCCCACAGTCACCCAGGAGCACCCCGCTAGGCTCACGTTAGTGTTTTCACCACCTGCCAAAGCTCCCCCCTGGGGACCAGTCCTTCAATAGAAACATGGACCTTTGGGGGACACGTAAACCATAGTATTTGGGTGTTAGATATTTCATTGCTTGCAGAACTAAATGAGGGGCAGTAGGGAGAAAATACAGCTCATTATGACTGCACGCCCTGACAAATGGAAATTTTGTACAATTTTTACAATGGAAGAAAGGACATGCAAAATCTTAATATCTTCAAGAATCATATTGGTATTCTGATGTGTGTGTAGAAGATAAAACTAAGTGTGTACATACGGAATGTTTTAATTCTGTCATGCTCAGAGTGAGGATGAGAATTCTCTGGACAGGATAAAGAAGTTACAGCTGTAATAAGTTAAACCCTCGAGTCTTTATTTTGAATTGGGAGTATCAATATGACATATATATGTATATAAAACTTACTGTCCACTCAGAAGATGTAGGAGAATGTGACCAACTTCGGGAGCAGCCTTAGAACCACATTTTGACCCTGTAATGTAATCCACAGGACATTGGGAGGCAGAAGCTGGAGGATCACAAGTTCAAGCCCAGCCTGAGCAAATTAGGACTTAGCAAGGATATGTCTCAAAATATTTTAAAAAGAAAATGGTGGAGATAAGCTTGGTGAGAAGTACTGAAAAAAAACGTGATAATGTCTGATTCCGGGGTTACATCTGATTCTAGGTGTGGAACAGGAGATGTACATGATGATCCTAGGAGCCCTCAACGTACCAGCTCTGAAATAGCACTGGAACCTTGTCAGGAAGACTCTGGAGATGAAGAGAATCCTACTGACTTTTGGGGATAGTTTGAGTTTCAGTAATAATTACAATTTGAAGCCCCACTAGTATGTTTAAACTCAGGAATTCATAATGTTATTTAAAACCAGAATTGGCCACCTTAGAATGAGGAGAGGGAACTAATTCATGTATTCTGAAGAACTGACAGGGCATTCATTTTGCCTTTCTGCATGGACATGACCATCGGGTAATGGCAGATGTGGGAAAGCACTTTGACCATAAAGCCCTCCAACTAGTAACTGAGGAGTAATGCAGGGTTATGCTCAATATAAGAAGACAATGGCTGACAGCATGATAAAAGTAGACACAACTAGGTGTTATCCCAGAAATAACAAGAAAAATAGGATTAACTAGACATGCTGCTGAGTGGAAGACAGCAAGGCCTCATATGGTTTTGTCACATGAAGTGAACCTTGAATCTGGATCTGGCCTGAATCTGGCTTCTGGGAAATAAGACAGAACTACATCATGAGTAGGAAGTCAGGAAAATCCAGACTGAGAGAAGCTCTGTGGTCCAGAAGTCTGGTTTCTTCAACACGTAAGAATGTAAGGAAGAAAAGTTACTTTTTCAGTTGAGACTTGAGTATCACTAAAAACAAAAGCAATAGTCAAAACTGAGTTCTTTGTACCTTACTACACTTTACTGGTACCCGTTCTGTGGAGGTTGTGTTGGCTTTGTGGTGAAGACACCATACCTTGATGTACATCACACACCTTTCCCCAGTTGTACATTCAGTAACACCATGGTAGTTTGAGAGCTTGTTTGGCGGTCTAGCAGGGGAGTGCAGCTACTCGTACACCCGTGACCAAGGAACAGTCCTCCTTTATCGAGGGTGGTCGTCCTCTTCGACCGAGTGTGCAGCTTGGGGAGGGACGCATGTGGAGCGTTGAGGGAGGAAGGGGACACCTGCCCGGCCAGCCAGATCAGCTGAACAGCCCTGGCGATCGATGGGGTGACAGATGTCGCAGCCAGATTGTCCTCACTTCCACCATGGTAGTTTGAAACTAGCCACGGAGGCAGTATTTAGGCCAAAGAGGGACTGATAGTTTTGATTAGACCTAAAAAAGATAGAAAAATATTGATGTAGATAAGAATTAAAAATATATCTGTAAGCATCACACTGTGAATAACCCCAAAAGTGAAGTATTCCAGTATTCAGAAACTGTGATCTGATTCAGTAAGGAAGTCAGATACATCGCTGGCAAACGAGTGACGTTCTGACGTGATGATTCTTATTTGTCTTGTTAATGAAAATACCAACCAACATTTATCCCAGATTACATTCATTAATCAATTGCAATCATAAGATGATGGCAGATACAAGAATTTCGGGGGAAATAAAAAAGTCGGCAAATGCTTATATGGAATTTTCAATAGCATATTAAATATTTATATTAGTAAAATTCACCTTTATGTGTGTGTACTTTGTGTCAGTTATTAAACGCCTGGACACATTAAGTGTGTAGTAAATGTTAGTTCTTTTACTGTTAGTATGGCAGTAACAGGACAAGCAATTCCTGGAAGAGGATGATGTTTATAAAGGCCAGAAAGAATGGCAGGGAACTAAACTGATCAAGATGACTTAAATTTTAAAGTGACTTGGAGTAAATTACATGTGACAAGGCAGTCCATAAATAATCACTGAGCTGAACAGTGGAAGAACTTGATAACAGGCAGAAGTGCGATGGGGGCCGCAACATACAGGAATAGTCTTTACCAAAAGGGCTGTTTGGACCCGTGTTTTGCTATCAGGGACCTGTGATACTCAGTATTTAAAAACTAGAACAATCCTTGTGTTCATAAGCTAAATATTCTACAGATGTAAAAACTTCAGAAAAGAATTTGTAGCGCTCAGTGGCAGAGTGTTTGCCTAGCATGTGTGAGGCTCTGGGTTCAGTCCCCAGCACCTCCAAAACAACAGCAACAAAACAGAATTTACAGAATTCATTATCACAGTAACAAGTCCTTTAGGTCCAAATGAAGCTGCACAGGAAAGACAAGTTGTGTTGTACATGAATTAGCCGATCATTTGTAGAGAAGTATGTGAATCCAGGGGTTGACAGCATCCTGAGCAAATGAGGCAGAAAGGAAATACATGGCACTTAGAATAGTGCGGGATGCCACTCGGCTGTTTGGAAGACTGGGCTGATGTCTGTGTAATGTAGATTGTGTAGCATACACAGAAATGATCTGTGCAGTCAAGGGCCTTTAACTGTCTTTTTTTAACTGTCTTGGCGTCTGTCAAAAGTAGAATCCTGGAACCAAGTCTCACCTTGCTGATGCTTTCAGAAGGGAGCAGCTATGTGGACAATATTAACAAATAAGAAAAAACTGGTGTTTGTCTGGAAATGATAGGATATCCAGGAAGCAAGGATTCTGTCACCCTGAAGTCCATAATAATAAGAAAATGGAACATAGTACTAGGTTTAGTTAACCATACCTGGAATCAGAGATAATTGTCTTATGACTTGAGAATTTAAAATGAATAGTCACATAGATTCTCTGGAAAGTATTTGAAAAGTGAGATTTAAGCTGTACAATTAATGAGAGGCCAAATGGGAAGAGAGCAATGAAATAAACTCGTGTGCTTGCATGAGAAACCATCTCATGAAGACAGATTCCAAAGGAAAGACTTATGTGAAGCATATTATCAAGACAGTCATATGAGAGCACATATCTTAAAAAGTATTAGGGTTAAAGGTCATCATGAACTTAAAAGTGAGTCAACAAAAAGTGCCTTTAAGCTATATTCAGATCAAGAAGTACAATGCCTATACCCCAGCACGCAGAACTATCTTCACACAGGACAGAATACAGTAATGTGGAGATGGGATTACAGGACCAAGAAAAGTCATGGAAGGAAGCCAAAAATTTAAAAACGAGTCTATCTCCAGGACTAGAGCTCGCAGATGGAATCCCAGAACATTTCAGTGTGGTGTTGGATAAGTGAAAGAGAAAACATGGAGAAGTCTCAGAGGACAATTTTTTCCATCATAAGGGGAAACAAAAATGTTGGTCAGTGAAAGGAATGCTGTAAATACAATTTAGAAATCAGCAAAGGCTTTGGTGAAATTTAACAACGTTTCACGGATAACAAGATTTGTTTAAAGTTAGCTTCTAGCACTTCTAGACAAATATACAATTGTTTAATGACTACCAGGAGGGCTGAAAAATAGCAAAGTTAGATTAGTGATGATATTAAATCTGATTTTTTGATACTGTATAATAGAATACATCAACTTTTGGAAGATGAGCACAACTCAGTGGACCGATATTATCAAATGGAGACCAATGCGTGACCTTCTAATTGAATGTAAAAATGTCGCCAACCTGAAATCATAACAAACCCCACTTCTTGAGGTGGTCCCGTGCTCTTACTTGCCTGGTGTTCTGACCACCGGATGGTTGCTGTGTGCACTGAGACACAGTCTGTCTTGAATATATATGTGTATGTATATGTTCCTCAATTAAATACAGTTAATGTATACCTAACCTACTGACATCACAGTTTAGCTTGGCCTACCTTAACTGTTCTCAGAACAATTACATTAGCCTACAGTTGAACAAAATCTAATGCACAAAGATTAATTGATAATGAAGTGTAGGGTATCTCATGTAATTGAAGACTTCGTTGAAAGTGAAAAACAGAATGGCTCTATGGACTTTTTTTGCACTATTGTAATATAGAAAACTTGTTGAGGTGCAACTTTGTAAATTGGGGACCATTGGTGTTTTTGTTAGGGTTTGGGCAGTTTAGTTTCATCTAAATTGTTCCTCTGCCTCTGGATAAATTCTGAAGTTAATTGTAGTTTAGTGCTATTAAAATAGTGTAGAATAAAAGGACACATTCAATGCTTTGTTTTCTGTAGACCATAGTCCTCATGACTGCTTTTTATGCACCTACCGTTCTCATATCAACCCATTCGCTGATTCTTCTCTGGGGTGGCCTGAGCCAGGACTCACATACTGATCAGTGTTAGGCTCACTAGTATTGTCACTATAACAAATATCTGAAAGAATCAAATTGTAAGGAGAGAAGATTTATTTTGACTCACAGTTTCGGAGATTTCAGTCGATGGTCTGTTGGCCCCGTTGCCTCTGGGTGTGTGGTAAGGCGGAATATCATGGTGGGGGTGTGTGCTGAAGTGAAGTTGTTCACCTCATGGTGGCCAGGAAGTGAAAGAGCAGAAATAACCAGGGTCCCCGAGTGTCCTTGCAAGCCACACCCTCGAGGCATAAGGACTCCCACCAGGCCTCACCTCTCAAAGTCTTCACCACCAAGTGGGGAACAATCCTTTAACACGTGGGCCTTTGGAGAAGACGTACCAGGCCACAGCACCATCTCGTCCCTTCTGTTGTTTTCATTATGTCTTTTTATGTCTCATAAAACATATCTTAAAAGTAAAGCTCATTTGGTTGGGAGCTGGTTCAAGGGATACCACAGTAAAATCAGGAGCTCTTAAATCACACTTGAAGTGTAACGAATCGACATTTTCAGAGGTGTATTTTCTTGTTCTTTCTGAACAAATCACTGGGAAGAAAAATTTCCCCATATGAAAAAAATCTTTGTTCTGAAGCTTATCTCAAACAACCTGCCTATGTTTAGAAATTCAATTTCCAAAAAGTCTGATAGGCAGGGGCATCTATTAAAACTCTTGTCCCAGTCATCTTTGAGTAAATTTCTATCTGGGCTTTGGTAATTAAAGTTACATGTGACACTTATTAACACATCCTGTATTGATATGAAACTTTCAAAAGCTTTTTGCTCTGTGTTGTTTTGGGTTGGAATAACCGAAACAGAGCCATCAGCTCATTTTAAAATGACTACATTTTAGATAACACTCAAAAGGTAAGACAAGAGGCGTCTTTCACTAAATGAATGCAGTTCGCAGAGAGACGGTCTTGTTGCCCTTCATCTCCCTAAATGCAGTGATCAATCTGCTTGGATTTCTAGTATCACCCCTGTCACCACCCCATCTCCTCTAAGCTGCTAAGTCTGCTGGAAACTTTAGCAGTACTGTTTTATTAGCTGAACTGTTTAAAGTTTTTCTCCTAGAGAATGGTTATATTTTATTGAGAATAATTGTGCTGCCAGGTAATAGAAAATAAACATTAAACATTGATACTATCATTCCCTTGACTTGTCTAATTTTCCTGGTTCATAATGCATTGCGACCAGACTCACGAAATCAAGCTATAATGGTAAATTACCTGTCAGGTTGATTTGTCTGCTTGGTTCCTTATCTTTGGTGCAAATAGAGAGAGAGAGAAAGACTGTGTATGTGTATGTGTGTGTGTGTGTGTGTGACAGAGTGTGTGTGTGTGAAGTTCTTAGAACTTAGGACTTGGAAATGCCCCTTTGCAGAAGTAAACTTTATATGTACATATTCAAGATAAAATAGCTACTCATGTTCATAGTCAGATGTTCAAAAAATAATATTTTATGTTTTGATGTTTTCTCACTGATAATAGTTAATCTTAGCATCCAAAAAAACAATAATGAAAGCTTCAAATTATCACTGTTCTTTTTTATTATCCAAAGAAATTCTAAGGATATAGCTGTCCGCATCTCTGAGGTAGGTACCAAACAAATTTTTTCCTGCTCCTTTGAAATTGAAAACCACTTTGTCAAAAATTAATGAAAGCCTTCTGAAGAACAAGACAGAAACTGTAAACCAACTCCATGGTAACTGATATAAAATACTACACAAAATCTTAAGAGATAGTACTTTTTGATGTGGAGACAAAGACAAAAATTTTAAAGCTGGTTTTTGTCTTAAGGTTGTGTATCAGCTTTCTGTTGTTGTAACAAAATACCTGAGACTATCATATTATAAAGAAGAAAGGTTTATTTTGGCTTACAGTTTTGGAAATTTCCATGATCAACCAGATTTGTTGCATTGGGCCTATGATAAGGCAGCATATGGTAGTGGGGAGCTTTTGCGGGGGACAGTTGGTTTACCTCATGGTCAGATGCAGAGAAAGAGCCGAAGAAGAGTTGGGGTCTGACAGTTCCTTTCAGGGGCACAACTCAAAGCACCTAACTTTCACAAGGCCCTCTCTTCAGGGGTCCACCACCTCCTCGTGCTGCCACCCCAGGGACCCACACTGTAACACACCGGGCCTTCACAATGGGGGACACTCCAGAGCCAAACCTTAGTGTGTTGCAGGTCATTTTAAAAGCCTTCGCTAGTTGAAAAAGAGCTTTCGTTAACACAGCCCTTCCTTGCCCAGCCTTTGCGCATTCAAGCGCTCCCTGCACTGCACCCAGTGTGGAGGGCAAGAGCCAGGCTCTCGAGTGGAAGCCGACTGTGGGCCAGAGGTCCTGGTACAGAGGTGCCGGGAGAACCACTGTGAGGCAGTGTGAGTGTGAGCGTGTGTGTGTGAGCGTGTGTGAGCGTGTGTGCACTCTTGCGTGTGTGGATGTGCTGTGGCTGGGACAGCGATCATTTAACTTGAGAATCCCCCTGGGGCTGTGGTAACGAGGGCTTCATCTGAAGTGGCTCAGTGGGGAGAGACAGAGCTTTGAGGGTGTTGGAGGGGGGTCCGGTCACCGCAGTCCGTGTGACTGTGCACCCTAACCCTTGTTCCTGCCACTACGCGACCGCATCCATCCTCACCAGGGACCAAGCCAAGGGACTGCCCAGTCTTGGACTTGGATTCTCCCAAACTGTGAGCTCAATAAACCTTCTTTCCTTATAAAGCTGGTTGTGCCAGGCATTTTGTTGTAGTAACACAAAGTAACGG